TGTGTGGGCCTGTTGAGGCCCCAGCATCAGGAAGAGATAAGACATATGAGCAAGATGGGAAAGAGCAGTCGTGGAATCAAGGATTAGCTGGATATGAGGTTGGAGGTGAAGGGGAGGGAGGGAGGCTTGGAACCAAGTCAGAGAATGAAGACGCTTTCCCTATTGGAAAAGGAAGATGGCAAGGATGGTGTGGGGACAGGCTGAGTTGGAATGACAGAAAATCACAAGGAGTTGGATCTGTAGCTCTGGGAAAAGGGGACCAGCCTGGAGGAGAGAGTCTGGGTAAGAGGCAAGAAGGAGGAACCAGGAGAAGGAAGAGGGGACTCAAGATGAAGGAGTGGCCCCAAAGCCCAGGAGCCCCTCCTCCTAGGCTAGGAGAGAGCACTGTGTCCAGGCTATAGTTCTAGAAGTGCCTGCCTGCCTGATTGATGACCATTGCCCTTTCCACACACCTGAAATCAGGGCAGGACTCAGGGACAATCCCAAATTGGGTGGTGTGAAGTCACCCTGTGGTTTCTCTTGTCTTGGTCCTAGCATTAGGCACATGCTGTGCCTCAGTGGGAGACAGCAGGACATCTCTGCCCCCAAGGACTGGGGGCTAGAGTGGTGTGGGCGTTGAAAGCTGTGGGTGCCCAACATCACTTCCAGCATTTATGCCAGCTCCAGGACAGACTGTGCCCATAAAATCTGACTTCAGGAGGTCTTTAGGCAAACAGCCAGCTGGGTGGCATGACCGAGACCTCTGGGGCCAGCCGACAAGCTGCCCACGCCCTGGGCAGAGTAGGGCAAACAGGCAGAGGGATGAAGAAAAGAAAGAACAGAGAAGCTTCCCTCACGCTGGTGGAGAAGGAAAAAGTCTATAAATAAGAAGTCACAGACACCAGCAGTGTCCAGAACAGACCAGATAGGTTGTCCCCGTTGTTCCAACAGGGACAAAACCAGGGACACCAGAGGGTCAGAGCCAGAGGCCAAGAGCAGGAGGAGAGGGACAGAGAAACCAGGATCCCATTCTGGAACTTTTAAGCACTTAAAATATATTTTTTAAGGTTTATTTATTATTTATTTATTTATTTATTTATTTATTCATGAGAGACACAGAGAGAGAGAGGCAGAGACACAGAAAGATGGAGAAGCAGGCTCCCCACAGGGAGCCCAATGTGAGACTCCATCCGCCAACCCGGGATCATGCCCTGAGCCCAAGGCAGACGTCCAACCGGTGAGCCACCCAGGTGTCCCACACTTAAAAAATATTTTTAAAGACTCCCAGGATGTGGACCCAGGGTGCTAAGACCCAGGAAGTGGGGAGTTACTTAGATGGCCAATACTCCATGCCTTCATTCGACCAATGAGCTAGTACCTAGACAGCACTCCATACATGTTGACCCTTCCCATAGCTGTTATAATTCTGCATTACACGCTCTGCTAAGGGCTGGGGAAGGATTGATCATCTAACAAGAAAGTTCCTAGGCCTCCAGGAGCTTAGTGGGAGCCACATGCCACTCAGCAGGATTAATGCCTCAACTTATAAGGTCTGAGAGGCCTTCTTGGAGGAAAGGGCTTCTAAATTGACACTCAAACACACCAATGGGGGCCAGTTAGGTAAAGGCAAGGCTCCTCAAGACAGTGTTCCAGGGAAAGGGAACAACCACACACGTGCAAAGATCTCAGGGGGTTCGGCCAACCAACAACAGAATGTAGTGGTGGTTGATATCATTACTAATGGATGGTGATTATGCTATTAAGTACTAATTACTTACTATTAATTCCTGAAGATTTATGACTTTGAGCAAGTACCTCCTTCTCTCTTTGAGCAGATGCCTTGGTTCCCTTATCTGTAGGATGATGACCCTTCCAATTCTATGTCCCTAGTCACATGAGCCATGGGGTTCATCCCAGGACCCTGGGATCATGACCTGAGCTGAAAGCAGCCGCTTAACTGACTGAGCCACCCAGGCACTCCACCCCACCCCACCCCCACTATGTATGCACTTTAATGGATCCCATCCCTTTCTCCCAATGTTTGTATCCAGGGAAACTCATGCTAAGGTGAATGTCCTTTCATGTAAGAGCCAACCATAGCACTGAGACCCCAGCACTGGCAAGAAATGAAATATAGGCACGGTTGGGACGCCTGGGTGGCTCAGTGATTGAGTGCCTCCCTTTGGCCCAGGATGTGATCCTGGAGTCCCGGGATCGAGTCCCACATCAGGCTCCCTGCATGGAACCTGCTTCTCCCTCTGCCTGTCTCTGCCTCTCTCTGTGTCTCTCATGAATAAATAAATAAAGTCTTAAAAAAAAAAGAAGAAATATAGGCACGGTGATGACCTATTCCTAACATGGATCTTATAACTTATAATACAAGTATCTCCTACATAATTCACCCAGAAGTTAAGCCATCCTAGTAGATGTGAGGTGTTATCTCATTTTGGTCTTGATTTGCATTTCCTTGATAACTAATGATGTTGAGCATTCTTTTTTTTCCCTCTTCTCTCTTTGCTTTTTTTTTTTTTTTAAGATTTTATTTATTTATTCATGAGAGTCACAGAGAGAGAGAGGCAGAGACACAGGCAGAGGGAGAAGCAGGACCCATGCAGGAAGCCCGATGTAGGACTCGATCCCAGGACTCCGGGATCCCGCCCTGAGCCAAAGGCAGACATTCAACAGCTGAGCCACCCAGGTGTCCCATCCTTTGCCCATTTTTAAATAAGGTTATATGTCTTTTGATTGTTGAACTGTAAAGAGTTTTTTGTATATTCTTGGTACAAGTTCTTTATCAGATATATGACTTGCAAATATTTTGTCCCTTTTGGAGAGTTATCTTTTCACTTTCCTGATAGTGTTTTGGCACACAAGTTTTTAATTTTGATGCCATCTGATTTATGTGGCTTTTCCTTTTGTCACTGGAGCTTTTGATATCATATTTAAGAATCCATTGCCTAGTTCAAGGTCATAAAGGTTTACTCCTATGTTTTCTTCTAAGAGATTTATAGTTTTAGTTATGAAACCGCCCTCTTTTTTTAAATAGTGTGCATTAAGAGTCCAGGCCCATCCTTTTGCGTGTGAATTTTCAGTTGTTCGAGCACCATTTGCTGAAAAGACCATTTTTTCCACACTGGGTTGTCTCAACACTCTTGTGGAAAATCAACTGATCAGAAATATAAGGGTTTATTCTCAGTTCTATTCCATTTGATATATGTCTATCCTTATGCCAGTACCACACCGTTTTGTTTTTGTTTTTAAGTTTATTTATTTTTAGTAATCTTGATATCCAAGGTGGGACTTGAACTGGGGATCCCCCAGAACAAGAGTCTCAAACTCTTCTAGCTGACCCAGCCAGGAGCCTCAGGACCACACTGTCTTGATTACCATAACTTTGTAGTAACCAAATAACCTTTAAATAATACATATTAAGGGCTGGCTAGGTGAGGAAAAAGATGGAAAAGGGCCTACAGTTCTGAGGGGCGCAGGCAGAGGTGGTGGGCATCCTCTATCCTGCCCCCAAGGTCTAAAGGGTAGACCTCTTGGCTTGCCTACAGATGCCTGAGTTCCTCTGGGTGTAGCCCTCAAGCTCCAGGCTTTCAAAAGAAGGATCATTGAGGGGGGGGTATAAAGCTGACAAAGACGCTCAGCGGTTGAGCATCTGCCTTCAGCTCAGGTCATGATCCCAAGGTCCTAGGATCGAGTCCCCTTGGGGCTCCCCAAAGGGAGCCTGCTTCTCCCTCTGCCTCTGTCTGCCTCTCTCTCTGTGTCTCTAATGAATAAATAAATAAAATCTTTTAAAACATAAAATAAAATAAAAATGGGACGTGGCTCAGCGGTTGAGCGCCTGCCTTTGGCCCAGGGCGTGATCCTGGATTCCTGGGATCGAGTCCCACATCGGGCTCCCTGCATGGAGCCTGCTTCTCCCTCTGCCTGTGTGTCTCTGCCTCTCTCTCTGTGTCTATGAATAAATAAATAAAATCTTTAAAAAAAAATAAAAATAAAGTTGACGAAGAACGGCTCCTCCACCCCGGGCTCCTACCCGACACCCCCGCTGAGAGGTGGAGCCCCTTAAATCACACGCTTTCTCCATCCCACTCCTGGGAGCCCTAACGCTCTCAGGGAGCCGGAAATAGCCTGCGGGCTATGCAAATCACATGCAATAATCACATGCTAATCACATGCTAATCACATGCACACGTTCCCGCGGAGCCGGCGTCCGGAGCCCCGCCGGCGGGACCACTCGGAGCCCGCGGGCAGGCTGGGACGAGGGGCGCAGGCCCTGGCCACGCTCCGCCCCCCGCCCCCTCCCGCCCCGAAGCCGGGCCTCCCTCCCCGCCGGCCGGCGACCCGGAGGTGGGCCCGCCCCCCGGCGCCCTGCGGCCCGCCCCCCGAGGGCGCGGCTCCTGGCCGCGGGACCGCCGGCGTCCTGCCTCCTCCATCCCTCGCGGGCCGGGCCGCAGGAAGCCGCGCTCGGCGGGAGCGGAGCCGCCCCACCGCCGGGCCGCGCGAGCCGGTGAGCGGGCGCCCCGGGCCTCCCATTGTCCGTCAGGTGACCTCCCGCTGGGGTCCCCGTTAGCGCCGTCGCAGACCCGCCTCTCCGTGGGCCTCCCGGGCGGTTTCCCGCCTGTGACCGGCTCCGGCTTGAGGGTCCGGGAGAGCCTCGTCCCATCTCCGAGCTGCCCCCGCCTGCGATGGCTGAGGCCCCGCACGCCGGAGGGGGGTTCTCCGAGCCACCCCCACACTCCTGGCCCGGGGGGTGGGGTGGGTGGGGCGTGGGAGCAGCATGGGCACCACGCAAGGCCTGGCCTGAAATCCCGCGGGCGCCGCCTGGGCGTCCCATAAGCCCCACCCAGGGGAAATCCGTCCTGGGGAGGGTGGGAAAGCAGAATGGCCCAGGAGGGCAGGGACAGGGACGGGGCCAGGACGGGAAGAGGTCACCAAGGCTCTGTTGCCTATCCCATCCCCCTTCCAGGCTGAGGTCAGCCGGCTCCTGCGGGAATGTGGGGGCACGTCTAGGGACAGAAAGGAGGAGGGTGACTTGTCCCAGCTCGCGGAGGTCCGGAACGCCCTGTTCCTACCTCAGCCCCTGCCAAGTGTAGGGGTTTGAGGGCTTGTCAGTCCCAAGCCCAAGCAGGTTCTGGCGGTTCTCTTACCACTGCCACCTGGTGTCCTGGGCCCTGCCTGGCACGGGGTCTGGGAAGGGCAGGGGTCTCTGGGCCCTGCTCTGGAGCCTGTGGTGCCGCCTTTGCCTCTCACAGGAGGAGAGGGAGCATCCCTTCCACTCAAGACACCCAAACCTTGCATGAGAGCATTGGCTCCCTCCCTTGACCATGCCTGCAAGCTTAGAGGGGCAGAGAAGGGATTCTGAGGGTCTGGTGAGGGCTCTGTCATCAGATGGGAAGCTCTAAAAGCAAGCCAAGGGATGTGTGCAATGTTTGGAGGACAAGAAATGCCATTTGAACTTGTGCCCTGCCCACAAATCTAGCTTCCTGACACTTGGACATGAAGATAGTCTCAACTCTGGGCAGGGGGTCCCTGAGGGCTGAGGTGGGCAGTCCCTGGAAGTGAGAGTGAAGTGTCTCCAGCTGCATTTCCTTTCTTGTTCCAGCCACATACCAGGCTGCGATCATGATTCATGGTGTCCAGTACAAAGGAGAGACCACGTCCCTTCTGGGGTGGAATTGGAACCAGAGCCCCCAGCCGCATCTCCTCTCTGCTCTGCTTGAGTCTTCTGGAATGGACCTGCCTGCCAGGAAGCCAGGTCACCCTTGGTCCTGGTCGTGCCTGCCCCCTGGGGAACACAGGTGGGTCACATTAATATTATCTTCTGCGTTCACCCAAGGGCTGGTGCGTGGGTGTGAAGAGGTCCCCTCTCATAGTGTGTGTGTGGGGGAAGAGGGGCAACAATGATAGACAAGAGAATGATCCACTCCAATGTGGTGTGATAAGTACAATTAAAGGGAGATATAGAGGAAGGGGGCCTAGTCCAGCCAGGGGTGGAGGTCCGGGGAGCTTCCCAGGACTGCTGTCAGGGCTGAATCTTGAAGGACCAACAGGATTCTCTCTGGCTAGGATTTTGGAACCTCAGCAGCCTCGTTCACAAGGAGGGACCCCTTGTTGGAGGAGGGGGCTGGAGGATCAACCAACAAAACTGTTGTGACTAGGAGTCGCTGGAGGTCTGGGAGGGGACACTCCCTCATGGAAGGCAGATTCTGCAGGGGAATGCCGAGGGGGAGGCCAGGGGACCATAGACCCGGGAGGCAGGGCTCCCAGTGTGCAAAGAGAGAGCAGAGGTGCTTAGGGTTCCCTGGGCTCTGACTGTCCCAGGAGGCCTGGGGGAAGGAGAAGCTGGGAAAAGTCAGGCCCATTGAAAGATTCAGACTGAAAGTGGGTGCAGAGTGAAGGTTGGAATCCTGGACAAAGTCCCCAAAGGGCTGCCCGGAAAAGTGGCTGCTGAGAAGGGCACTATAGAGGCCTCTCTGGGGTAGGGGGTGGGGCGGGCCTCTCTCTATAAGGGCACAACAGCATGAATGAGAAGGGACCAGAGCTGGGGAGTGGGGGGGGGGGACTGGACTGGGGTCTAGGCCCCATCCTGTGTCCCCTCTGTCATCCACCTCCTCCCTGCCACCTCTAGGTCGGCGACTTTGTTGCTCTGAAGGGAAACCGGTAGGGTTCTAGGGCTTGAAAGTGACAGGGGTAGGTCAGGAGGATGTGAAGGTGGTGGAGGAAGGCTGGTGGCCCTTCTGGGAGGAGGAAGGGAAAGTTGGAAGACCGAGGGGTGAGCTATGGAGAGGCTATGCAGGGGACATTCAGGCCATCAGAGAGGGGATCGGGTTGCACTGGTGGCCTTTTCATTTGTTACGGCAACAGAAATCCTGGAAGAGGACTGTATCTGAAGTTTGCCTGAGCCTGAGACTGGGCCAGGATTGGGGCTGAGGGAACTCTGGGGCCAGTATCACTTACAGGAGCCAGGATGGCAGGACGACGCACCTGCAGCATGCACTCACACACACGCTCACGCAGTACTCTGCAAGACTGGCCTGAATGGGCCACTCACCTTGGACAGGGCTCCTGGGGGTCCTCTGGAGTGGGAGGAGGCTTGGTGCCCAGAGGAGAGATTGGAGCGTCTTTGGAAGGAGGCCTTTAGGGTGGATTCCACTGAGGTGCTGTTTTAAAGCCCTTGGGCCTGGTGGGGAGGAAGGTGTGGAGCACAGGGCGGGGCAGAAAGATGGGGTTGCATATTTCCGATAGTTTCCTGAGTTTCCTTGGTTTCTCCCAGGACCTGGGGCTAAAAGGAAGAAGGCTGTGGGAACCGTAGCTCAAGGGATCCGTTGCCTTCACTGAGGTGAAGGTTGCCAGCACCCCAGCCCTGAGTGTGGGTGAGGGCCGAGGGCCCTGGGGGATCAGGGGACTGCAAAAGGGCCCTGCGGTTGGGGAGTGAGCCTTGGGGCTTTGAGGCCTGGTTATGGCAACTTGTGTGATGCAGGAGCAGTCTGGATGGTGGCGAGAAGCTGAGAGAGGCCTGAGCTGAAGGTGGGGGGTATGCAAGAGCATCTGTGTGGTGTGTGACCCTGCGTGCGTGTGTCTGCATAGTGTGTGACCGTGTGTGTGTCTGTATGTCTGTGTATCATGTGTCTGTGTACATTTGTCTCTGGGCTTGGGTCCATGTAGGTGTGTCTGTGCATGTGTGTGTGTGTCTCTCTGGATATGTCTGTGCATGTCTGCATGAGTGACTTTGCGTGTCTCTAGACTTTTCTGTGTGTGTGTGTGTGTGTGCATCTGCCTATAAGGCTCTGTGTGTCTCAGTCTATGCAGTGTGTGTTTGTGCGTGTGTCTTTGTCAGCGTATATCTTGGTATATGCCCATGTGTGACTGTGTGTGTATCTGCATGTATATGTGCATGTTTGGGGGACAGGAGGGTGGTGCTCAGAGAAGCCTTGACAGGTGGTGGGTCATTACTGAGCATCGCTGTAGAGCTTGACTCTGCCACAAGCTCCCTGTGGAAGGGGTGATTTCAGAGGACCTTTGGATGAGACCCATGTCTTTTCCTGAAAGCTGCTTGTTTGGTGCCCTTGGAAAGCTATTCCGTGTACACTCCTTGGCGACGCCCAGCACCAGCTTACTCACCTAGCCGTCTCAACGGCACCAATAGGGGACCCTGCTGTCAAGGCGGCGTTGCGAAAGTCTGTGTTTGTGTGCAGGGAGCCTGCTTGTGAATGTTTGAAAATGCATCTGTGCGTGTCTGCGGGGACATTGGGACTACGCTGGCTCTAGAGGTCTGTTCCACCCTATCAGCAGTTATTGAGTGTTGCTGTGTGTGGGAGGGGGCCCCCAAGGCTGGGCCGGGAAGTGCCACCTGCTGACCACTAAATCATGTAAGTCTAGAAAGAGTTCCACCCACCTGCCTTGTCCCACTGATGGCTCACCTGCTTGCCCCTCCTGCCAGGCTGGCTCTGGGAAGTGGGTGAAAGGAAATGCCAAGGCCAACGTGTTTGCCTCTGGCCACCTCCCAGGAGGTGCTGGGGCAAGAGGAAGGGATGGTTTCAGCCACCCAGGGAAAGTGGCAGGTGAACTGGGGTTGGCAGCTCCATTTTGTCCCCTCCACAGGTGGCCCAGGCAGTGGTAGCGGCATTTGTGGCAGAGGATGCCCCGGGTCCCGGAGCGTGCAGAGGGCTGCTGGGCCTGGGTGGTGCTCCTGGCCTCCCTGGTGACCCAGGGTCTCACTCTGGGCTTCCCCACATGCACTGGCATCTTCTTCACTGAACTGCAGCATGAGTTCCAGGCCAGCAACAGTGAGACCTCGTGGTTCCCCTCCATCCTGACAGCCATGCTCCATGCTGGGGGTGAGCAGCCTGGGGAAGGGCTGAGGGAGGGTAGAGAAAGAACCTGGCTGAGGGAAGAAGCCACAACCTCCCTGGCCTTCTGGATCTCTCTCTCTCTGAGGCCACTGGCTTTGTCTCATGGGGTGAATTCCTAAGATGTCACCTGATTTCAGCAGGGCCAGACCCCTGGCTGGAATCCTGCAGGGCTGGGCTGTACTGAGCTGGGCTGGGCTGGGCTGGGGACAGTTGGAGAAAGGGTATGGAGGCACCTTAGATACAAAGCCAGTCCTCTCCGTGGCTGGTGGCCACAGGAGGATACATGAAGACTGTAGGAGTGCCAGGGAGTGAGCACAGACTTGAGGAAGAGCTGCTTGGGTGACCTCTCTGAACCTCAGTTTCTTCTTCTGCAATATGGAGGTAACATCCAACACCCTACCCACCCCCTACATGGGATCATAGGGAGGATCCCATGAGTCGTGAACAAGCAGTATTTGGAGAACCCCGTTAGGAGCTTCCAGATGGGACAGGGGGCTTGAGGAAGACACGAGGGGCAAGATGGGGGCAGGGCAAGAGTCCTATCTCTCACCAGGAAGCAGAAGGGTTGTTGCAAGGGCTGGAGAGGTGAAAAGAAGGCAGCTCCCCACCTGATTTCTTGATTGGCTCTTCCAGAAATATGTCCCCCCTCACCCTGACTCCAGTGAAGGGGGAAGGCCAGGTCTGTCTAGGAGGCTCCCTGAAATGGCCTTGGGCTCAGGGGCCTGCCCCTGGTTCCTGAGAGCTCTTTAGGGAGACTCCATAGACAGCAACCTGCTGGTGGTGGTCGGGGGGTGGTGCTGGTCACCTGGAGGTAGATCACACGCCCCACAGGGCTCTCCCCATGCACATGTTTCCTTACCTGTGTTTCCTTACCTCGGCTGAGCCCAGCTCCCTACCTCCCTCCTGCCACTCCCTCCACCTGGCACAAGCAGCCTGGTTGTTATTCCAGGTCCTTCCCTCCAATTGGGAGAGAGGTCAGACTGGGCTAGATGGCCTCGTTGAGATGACCCCTGCACCTGCCACCCCGGGGCATGGTTTTGGGGCCTTGGGAGAGGCCGGGACTGGCCCAGACCACATGACCTTTTCACTTGCAGGGTTGGGGCAGAAGTAATATCTCTGGCGGTTCCTTGCGTGCAGCCAGAGAGGGGTCTGCGCCAGAGCCCAGGAAGCAGGCATGCAGTGGAGATCCTAACTCCGTAGATTCACCAGCCCCTCGCAGGCATGCCAACACCTCAGTCGGCCTGGGATTCCTGTCTGGAATACACCTCTTTAGGCCATGCTCATTCAGAGTATCAGAGAAATTTTAAACTCGAAATTATGCATGATCCCAAGCACCCCTTACACCCCCCTACATCTTAGAAATGAAGGAACCAAGCAAGCACAAAGTACAAAGCCTGTTCATGGTTGCAGAGAGAGTTCAGGGCAGAAGCAGCGCCTGGCAGAGGAAATGCCCTGCCTCCCAGTGCCCTCAGCTATCTAAGGTAGGCTAGCGCAGATCCCAGCCCCCACCCCTGACGCCACGACTTGGGGCTTTCCCCAGTGTCACCTCTCCAAAGTCAGGTTAAAGTTTAGGGTGGGGACGATGGAAGACACGTGGGGCAGTGGTCACATTCACTGCAAAGTCTTGCCTCTCCCTCTCCCTTTGCTTGGTTATCTCTGAGTATGAGCTGCTTATTTCCTGTCACTCCCCTACTTGTATTGGCTCACACCCACACATCCTCTCTCTGTGGCGCACACACACACACACTCTTTCTCTCTCTCTCTTTCCCTGTCCCTTTCGCTGCACTCTGGGAAAGTAACTCTGTAGAAATTCCATTATGTGTACTTGGGGGCAGGGCATCTGGTGATTGGGACCTTGCAAGGTGTTGAGAAGCAGCCAGCCGGGACTGGCTCATTTCTGCTCTGGGTCTGGGCTGGTGAGAAAGCAGCTCAAGGTGGGGGAGGGGTGGAGGAGAACAGGCCTTTCTCCACCAGAAGCCAAACATCTGGGTGCAATGTTGGCTGGAAGTGATGGAGAAAGGGAGAAAGCACCCCACCCAATTTTCTCCTGAGCACTCCAGAGGCCAATGCAGGGGGGTGCAGAGTGGCTCAGGGCCCCAGGCTGCCCACCCTGGACGGGTTGGAGGGTAGCAGGAGGGCTGTGGCCAGACCTCTTGAGAATGGGAAGCAGGCAGGGGCTGTAGCTGCTCATTATGGTTTTGATGCCCTGGGACCCTCACCTGCTAAGACAGACCACCCCCACCCCCACCATCACCCCCAGCAAGAGGCATCTATGCAAGTCATAAGCCAATCCTATTTTACCTGGATGGAATCAGCTTCAGGTCAGTGTAGGGAAGGGCCTCAGTCTTTTGCTCTGGGGATCCCTGTTGGGGTGAAATTGAACACTTGCAGGAATTCTCCTCTTCTCCTCATAGCTGGTCAGATGTCATCCAGGGTGACCTCTTGTAGGGGAGGCACAGAGAGGGACTGGGTTTGCCCCAACCCATAGCCAGCCTGTGGCCAGGTGGCAATCAAAATCTAGGCCTATAGGCCCCAGGGCTGTGCCTTTCAAGCCACCTAGATAGTTCTTGCTGGAACCCCCTCCCAGACTCACTCTCTCCCTTCCTCCAGCCCTCCTCATTCAGTTGCCACCTGCTGGCTGTCTCCCCCCACAGGACCCCTATGCAGCATCCTGGTGGGACGCTTTGGCTGCAGAGTGACGGTGATGCTGGGAGGTGCGCTGGCCAGCCTGGGCATGGTGGCCAGCTCCTTCTGCCGCACCCTTAGCCAGCTCTACCTCACAGCAGGATTCATCACAGGTGACCGTCTTCCCATTTCGAGAATTTCTGGGTGCCTACTAAAAAGTGTTAGACATAAGTGTAGGCAGGATGCCTAATCTGGGGCTGCTTATAGTCAGGTGAGGGAGAGGGATAGTGAATACATAAATGAGAAAGATTGTTTCTGATTGTGACAAGCACATGAGAAGACAGGACCTCTGATGTGATGGGGTACTGGCTGGGGGTAGGGATGGGCAGAAAATAAGCAAAGAGGTAAAATATCTAGGACACCCCATGCAGAAGATAAAGCAAAGGTGGAGGAGGCTGCTACTTCCAACGGGGCAGCCAGGGAAGGCCTTGCAGAGAAGGTGACATTTGGGCAGAAAGCTAATGGAGGTGAGGGAGTCTGCTGCTAGGGTCTCAGGGAAAGAGCATTGCAGGCAGCAGGAACAGCAAGTGCAAAGGCCCAGAAGGGCCCAGGGGGCAGAGGGATAGAGGCTGGGGAATGGATGGGGAATAGTGCCTGAAAGGCTTCGTAGTGAGATAGGATCTGAGGAATATGGGCAGAGGGGTGAGTGATGTCATTCAACCACTATTTATAAAACATTACTCTTAGCCACTGGATTGAACATATATGCCCTGGGGGCAGTGGTTAAGTTAGAGCAGGAGACCAGGGAAGGGCATGGTCATAAGCCAGGCAGGAGGTAGATGTCGCTTCAGCTACAGTGGTATGATAGAGGTGCTGAGGAGCAGTCAGGTTTCAGGACTGTGTGTGGGGTACAGAGAGAAAGAGGCAAAGATGGCCCAAGGTTCCAGGAGCCAAGAAGGGTGACACCAAGATTTTTGCCCCAAACCACTGGAAGGATGGAGAAGCCTTTAATTACAACGGGGAGCCTAGAGGAAAAACACATTTGTGGGTGGTTGGGAAGCTCAGGTGTGGAAACATCCAGTCTGACGTTCAGGCACAGGCCGTGGGCTACAGAGGGCAGCTGTGGATCATGACATGGCTGGCATTCTGATGTATATATTTTTAAAGATTTTATTTACTTATTCATGAAAAACACAGAGAGAGAGGCAGAGACACAGGCAGAGGCAGAAGCAGGCTCCATGCAGAGAGCCTGACGTGGGACTCGATCCCAGGTCTCCAGGATCACGCCCTGGGCTGAAGGTGGTGCTAAACCGCTGAGCCACCCGGGCTGCCCAGCATTCTGCTATTGAGAGGAGGTATCATCCCTGCTGTCCCTGAGGGGACAAGGGTGGGTGGCTGAGGAGGTCTGAGGACCAGGCCCCGAGGTAGGTGTCCAGCAGTCCAGGTGGGAAGAAGAGACACAGGCAGGGGGAGACCCAGGAGAGTGGGGTTTCTTGAGAAAGTGAGCATAGAAAGTACAGTGGGAGGAGGGAGTGAGAGCCCCGTCAGGCTGCTGGTGGATCAGATGGAGGGGGACCAGCCTCGACCTTTGGATTTGGCAGCATAGAGGTTGCTGACTGTGATAGGAGAGATTCTGGATCCAAGGTGAGGGCAAAAGTCTGATTGAAACTGGTTTAAGAGCAAAGAGGGTGAAAGGAATTGGAGACACTGGAGACAGTGTTTCCAGAAAATTGTTATGAAGAAGGAGAGCAGAGAAACGGGCTGGTACCCAGAAGAGGCCATGGGGTCAAGAGAGGGGGTTTTGGGGGTATTTTTTTTCTTTTTTAAACTTTTATTAACTTCAAAAAATGTAATGAGCACCATTCTAGGCAGTAGGGTAAACCTCCCCTGCTGACAATCTGACAGACTGAGTCAAACACAACGTTCAAGGGGTGCCTGGCTGGCTCAGTCGGTAGAGCGTGTGACTCTTGATCTCACGGTCATGAATTCAAGCCCCACGTGGGGCAAAGAGCCTCCTTAAAACAAACACACAACCCCTCCCCACATTCAGTTAGGAGCTGGTAACAAGAGACCCACAAGAAATATGAAACACTGAAGGGAACATTGTAAACATGTGAGCTTAGAAAGCAGGTACGTCTTCCTATGAACTTGGGGGAAACATCAAGACTCAAGGCATAAGGCCAAACTCCTTATGATGGTCAGGGTGAGGAGGGTCAGGGCTAACTGCCTGTGGACCACGATGGCATTGCCCTTCCCTCCACTGCTACGTCCTCTCACCCTTGCCTATGGCTCTCCAAGCCTCTGATGCGTCTCCCACCTGTTCTGCAGGATGGAACCCCCTATCGAGGCAGATGACATTCACCAGCTTCCAAAGGGGAGGGCCAAGGGCTCTCCATCATTAGCAACTTGCTCCCTTTCATGCTTTCCTGCATTTTCCCGTTGGCATCTTCCATGCTGAGATTTTGTACTCCTTGTTCTTCTTTGGATGCCATTGCTCCTGGGCCTACCCCTGTAGTCTCCTCCTCCTCCCGAGGGAGAATGAGCTACAGCAACACTTCCACCTACACACCTGCTCCTCCTCTCCCTCCTACTCTTCTGGCCGCCCCTGGCCTGCAGGCTCTCAGGGCCACCAGGAACAGATACTGAGAAGGTGGCGGGAGCCATGACAGGGTCTCTGTTTTTTTTATTTTTTAAAGATTTTATTTATTTATTTAGGAGAGAAAGCCAGAGACAGAGCAAGAACAGTGGGGGAGATGCAGAGGGAGAGGGAGAAGCAGAAACCCCACTGAGCAGGGAGCCCCACATGAAGCTCTCTCCCAGGACCCCAGCATCATGACCTGAGCCAAAGGCAGACACTTAACCAACTGAGCCACCCAGGCACCGCCCCCCCTTGTTTTTTATTTTCCCCATAAAGATTTATTTATTAATGAGAGGCACCGAAGAGAGACATAGGCAGAGGGAGAAGCAGGTTTCCTGTGGGGAGCCTGATGTGGGACTCGATCCCAGGACCCTGGGATCAAGAATTGAGCCGAAGGCAGACACTTAACTGACTGTGCCACCCAGGCACTCCCCTTGTTTTTTTTTTTTTTTTTTTAAGATTTTATTTATTTATTCATGAGAGACACAAAGAGAAAGAGGCAGAGGGAGAAGCAGGCTCCATGGAGAGAGCCTGATGTGGGACTCAATCCTGGGTCTCCAGGATCATGCTCTGGGCTGAAGGCAGCGCTTAACCACTGAGCCACTGGGGCTGCCCCCCTTGTTTTGTTTTTAATGGGAGAAATAATATGAAGGAGAATGTTCTGGGAAAGAGGAGAAAGTGGATGGTGGAGGAGAAAGAAATTGCTGGAGGATATGCCTTTGAGTAGACAAGATATAGGGCATAAGTAGGTTGGCCTTGGCTGGCAGCACAGACCAATGTCACAGACGGAAGGCAGGTGGTCAGCTGGGAGTGAGGAGGGGGGAGGGGTGGAGAAGCATAGAGAAGGGCTGATGGTCATCCAGGAGGGCGGGGGAGTAAACTGATGGTGGTGTCACACAGGTGACCCAAGGGCCCGCCTGAGGCTTGTGGTCATGGTGTGGCTGAGCAGGGCAGGCATGGAGTGGGTGGGGATGTGGCATCTGAGCTTAGCCAGAAGAGAAAAGTCTAGGGGAAGCATATTCTGCGTAGTGGGAACAGCAACTGTAGATGTCCCGCAGTGGCGGGGGGGGGGGGCGCAGTTTGGTGTCCAGAGGAAGAGAAAGAAGCTGATGTAGCTCAGTCATAGTAAGTGACAGGGAAAATGGCCTGAGATGACACCCAAGAGATGACCAGGGGCCAAACAGTGTAGAGCCTTCTAGGGCATAGTAAACACTGTGGCATTTTTTCTAGGTGTAATGGGAAGTCTTTGGAAGGTGTTAAGCAGGAAAGACACTTACCCCAATTTAGGTTTTTATTTTGCTTTATTTATTTATTTTTTAAATATTTTATTTATTTATTTGAAAGAGCAAGCACGAGGTGGGGGGGTGGGGGAGGGGCAGAGGGACAAGGAGAGGGAGAAACAGACTCCCTACAGGAGCAGGGAGCCCGACACACACAGGGCTCCATCCCAGGACCCTGAGATCATGACCTGAGCCAAAGGCAGATGCTTAACTGACTGAACCACCCAGGCACCCCCCAATTCAGGTTTTTAAAGATCACCCCGGTGCTGTGCCAGAGGGAACAGGTGTGTCCCTGGCAGCCTCAGGAAGACAGATTTGATGCTTCTAAGGAGGTAACAATGCAGGCTGTTTCCATCTTAAATCCTTGGGATCTGGAAGGGGGTGGTCTGAGCTAGAACAGAAGGGGGCAGACATGGAACATGATCCTGCGACCCCTCTCTGGGTATGGGTGGGAGGCTCAGAACACCCTTGAGCTGGGCTCCTCTCTCCCCAGGCCTGGGCATGTGCTTCAGCTTCCAGTCGAGCATCACCGTGCTAGGCTTCTACTTCTCCCGCCATCGGGCACTGGCCAATGCACTGGCTTCAGTGGGCGTCTCCCTGGGCATCACGCTCTGGCCACTGCTCTCCCGCTACCTCCTGGAGGACCTGGGCTGGAGGGGCACCTTCCTTGTCTTCGGTGGAGTTTTTCTCCACTGCTGCGTCTGTGGGGCCATCCTGAGGCCTGTGGCCACCAGTATGGCCCCTGAGACCATAGAAGGCCCCCCTCCTCCTTCCAAGACACCTGCACCGGGCTGCCTGGCAGCATGTGGTCAGGCCATCCAGCGCCATCTGGCCTTTGACATCTTGCGGCACAACGCAGGCTACCGAGTGTTCACGCTGGGTGTTATGTGGATGATCCTCGGCTTCCCGCTGCCACATGTCTTCCTGGTGCCATACGCCATGCGGAATGGGGTGGATGAACACAAGGCAGCCCTGCTCATCTCCATCATCGGCTTCAGCAATATCTTCCTGCGGCCGATGGCTGGGCTGGTGGCAGGCCGGCGGGACTTTGCTGGCCACCGGAAGTACCTGTTCAGCCTGGCAGCCCTGCTCAATGGCCTCACCAACCTGGTGTGCGCAGTGTCGGCCGACTTCCGGGTGTTGGTGGGCTACTGCCTGGTGTACAGCGTGTCTATGAGTGGCATCGGTGCCCTCCTCTTCCAGGTCCTCATGGACATTGTTCCCATGGATCGGTTCTCTAGCGCCCTGGGCCTCTTCACCATCCTGGAGAGCATCTCCATCCTCATCTCCCCGCCACTGGCTGGTGAGGCCCCAGGAGGGAGGGCGGCCAGGTGTATGCGGCTGTGGCCTGGGTGGGCAGGATATGGAGATAGGGCAAAGGGGAACAGTCAACAGATTTGGGTGCCATCCAGCCTCTCCAGGGGTAGAGACTTGGAATCTGATTTTCCCAAGCACCCTAGGGGATTGGCTGCAGCCTGCTCCCCAGCAGGCACCTAGGGTACAGTTAAAAATAAGGATTCTTTTAAAAGATTTTATTTATTTATTCTTTCCTGAGAGACAGAGAGAAGCAGAGACACAGACAGAGGGAGAAGCAGGGACTCAATCCCGGGACCTGGGATCACACCCTGAGCCGAAGGCAGAGGCTCAACCGCTGAGCCACCCAGGGATCCCCAAAATAAGGATTTTTGTTTTGTTTTTTTTTTTTATTATTATTTATGATAGTCACACAGAGAGAGAGAGAGAGAGGCAGAGACACAGGCAGAGGGAGAAGCAGGCTCCATGCACTGGGAGCCTGACGTGGGATTCAATCCCGGGTCTCCAGGATCACACCCTGGGCCAAAGGCAGGCGCCAAACTGCTGCGCCACCCAGGGATCCCGAGGATTTTTGTATCAGACTTGCCTGAGTTCTTCGTCTTCCTTCCTCTCAGTACCTCTGCTTTATCAGTAAAGTGGGGACCATAGTAGAATCTACCTTGGAGGCTTGTTGTGAGGATCATAGTTACCTGGCACGTAGCAGAAAGCTACATACATGTCTGCTGTTATTAACATCCTGGCTGTCCCACTTCCTGCCTGTGGAACCTGGGTAGGTAATTTTTCTTCTCTGAGCCACAGTGTCGTCGGCAAAATGCAGACAAGAACACCTGCCTGTGCCAGTCCCTGGCTGAATACAGAGGCCTAGTCCCCACCTCTCAGTGCTGATCTGATGGGAGAGTCAGGAATTAAAGCAGAGACACATTTGTGCTCAGTGTAATGATTTGTGCCAGGAGGGAAACAAACAGATGTGGGACCAGAGACCCCATGAGCAGACTTGCCAGACAGGCAAGAGCACAACATTCAAAGTAACAGGTAGGGTGTGTGAAGCCCTTGATGCTAGACAGTATCCAGTGCACGGCAGCCAGCAGTTAGTACAGTACAACCATGACAATGGGGACGCTTCCCAAGTGTGTCATTGGAAGTCCCCGTTTCCAGGGGAGTTCGTCAAGCCAACAAGTGGAGAGAGCTCCCTAGGAGGAGGTATGGGAGGGCCCATGTGTGGCTGAGCAAATATCCCAGACTACTGGCCCTAGTGTGCTAGGCTTCCTGCCACCAAGGGTAAGGGAGACTTGCCCTGAGGTGCTCTTCTGGATCAAGAGCTCTTCCTGCCCCCTGGAGAACAGGCTTAGTGTTTTCTTTCTCCTTTCATGCAACAAATCTCATATTGAGTGCCTCTTAGGTGCCAGCCACAGTGACCAGTGCTAGGAAAACAGCAGAGCCCAAAGGAAAATCCCTGCTCCGGCAGAGAACGCAAGTTAGTGGGAGGGAGGTCTGGGAGCCCCAGGACAATGGCCTAACTTGCTCTCTGTCCCCCAGGGCTCCTGCTGGACACCACCAACAACAACTTTAGCTATGTTTTCTACATGTCAAGCTTCTTCCTCATATCAGCTGCCCTCTTCATGGGTGGCAGCTTCTGTGCCCTGCAGAAGAAAGAGAGGCAAAGCAAGCAGGCCGAGGCGGAAGGAGTCATCACGGAGGCTGCCTCAGAGCAGGGCCTCACGGTAGAGGACTCACGTGGGTCCAGGAAGCAGCTGTATACCGAGATCATGTATGTGACCAGTGTCTGAGCCCTGAGGTCAGTGAGGGACCACTGCCTCAGTCCAGGAGTGTGATGTCCAGCTGCCAGGGGCCAGGGTGAGGGACTGGCCCAGGAAGCCTGAACCACAAAGCCGTCCAGGCTCTGCACACTGGAACTCAGCCAGGAGCTGGGACCTTAGAGGCTGGTCTCCAAAGACTCAGGGTTCTTCCCAACCAGCAGAATCCAGGAGCGGGTCCTCCTGACTTTTTCTTTTGGGTACCAGAGTACCTGGAGCCCAGAAAAGTGAGTCTATACCCTACACACAGCCGGCTCACCTCAGCTGGCTGCCCAGTACTGCTGCTGCAACTCAATACACTGGACCCTCCAGTCTAGCCTGGATGTCTCTGATGGAATCTCTTTGTCCTTCTCTGGCCTCCAGACAGTTCCAAAGAACTCACCCCTCCTCCAGGGCCCTCCACTCCCTCTCTGCTAAAGGGCCCAGCCCTCGCCCTTAGGGCTGCCCCCAGCATAGGTTGCTGGGCCTCCTGCTGACTGGAACCTTGGGAAGAAGAACCTCATGAAAGGTTGAGTTGTGATCCCCAGTGGGCCAGGCTGAGGGGTTGGCTTGGACACAGGATACAGACAGATGAAAGGTTGGGCAGAGAGGACCCATCCTGGCGTCTGAGCAAAGAACTAGTGGGGAGGAGCCCTTGGCTTGGGTCCTAGAATCAGTGAAGTCTGAGGGGTCCCCTGCACTCAGCATGAGTGCTGGGAGGCCGGGAGACCTGTGAGCAGGGGAGGGGAAGGATTGCTAGGCAGGGCCCGAGGCCTCTGGGAAAATGGAGCTGCTTTTGTAACAGAAGCCTCTTACTCCCTGGCCTGCCCTCCACTCCCTACTGTGTCAGAGGTGTCCTCCCTGGGGTAAGTACCTGGCTGGGCCAGCTGCCAGCCCACCTCTGCTCCCCGTTGGCCTGTGCCTGTGGCGTGGAGGTCAGTGCCCCCCCCCCACATACACTTTTTGCTGGAACTGTTTTCTGAGGTCATCACTTGGGGGCTGGCTGTCAGGCCAAGCTCGTTCCAGTGGGATACCGACAAAGGCTTCGGAAAAACAGTTTGTTTGAATTACATACAAAAACCTTCCTGGAGTAGGTTATAAACCCCGTGAACTAATGAAGCTGGAAAACAGGCCTTGAGTAAGTGCCTACCCTCCCCCTTCCATTCTCCCTGCTCAGCGGGGGCTGTTCCGACCCAAGGCCTTGTTTGTTGATTCAGGCTCAACCAGGCTCCAACAAGAAAGCCTTATCAGGAAAATAAATTTTATTTTCATGACCTAACTCCAGCCTTCCTTCTCCTGAGCCTAGCTGGCATGAGTAAGTAAGCATCCTTGGGGAAGTACTGTCTTCCCCAGGACCCTGCCACGAGTGCCCCCTTATGGCCAAAGAGAGTAGTGCATAAGCAGAGGACTGAGGTAGCATAGACGTGAGTTCATGATTGGCTCTGCCACAATTTGCCATGTGGCTTTGGGCAATTGTTCACCACCTCTGGGAGGATCTGGAGACAATAGAGTCTCTTCTTGCTTGAAAATTCTGATCCTGAAGACCCCCATTTGCTTCCTGCTCCTCACCCAGGCCTGTGCTTGGCCACCATCCACAGCCTGTACATTGAAAGGGGAATGCTTGGATGCGTTTTTTTTTTTTTTTTGTAAAGATTTTATTGATTTATTCATGAGAGATACAGAGAGAGAGAGGCAGAGACACAGGCAGAGGGAGAAGCAGGCCCCATGCAGGGAGCCAGACGCGGGACTCAATCCGGGTCTCCAGGATCAGGCCCTGGGCAGAAGGCAGGTGCTAAACTGCTGAGCCACCCAGGGATCCCCTGCTTGGATGCATTTTTAACCAGGTCCTGTCTCCTCCATCTTGACTGAGTGGTAAAGGAAAGAGGGGACTGGTGGGAAGGTGGACACTTTGGGCACTAATAGCTACCAGGCTTTGAAATGTGCAACTCCTATTAGGCCCACTTCCTGAAAACAGATTTCTTTTAAGGAAAATTCCACACAGGGATCCCTGACCTCATCTGCCCCCAGCCAAGAGTGGCAGTTAACCTCTGGGCAGATTTCCTTCAACGAGTATTACTGAGCATCTACTGGACACCTGGTGGTACCCTCATCACAAAACCAAGGGCTGAGAAATATTCCCCAAGGGGAAAGGCCCCTGAGCCTTTCAGAAGGGATACATGAGGGTGGATGGGATAGCCTGGGAGGGAGAGAGGATCTGAAGCAGACAAGCCCTGGTCCACCTTGGGATGAGATGTACTTCCTCTGGTTGTATCAGCTATTTACAGAAGCTGAAGGGCCTGATGAAGGGGTCTGGGGCCACTGTCCTACGTGAAGCTGTCAGGGTACTGAAGCACCCCGATTATAGTCATAACTCCTGTTCCAAGGGGTGTGCACAGGGCAGGGGCTGACCACATGGGGCTTGCTGTCAATGAGGGCTGTCAATGAGGCTGTGGCAGGCTGGAGTGTGGCAGCCATTGCTCTCATGCCAGGCCCAGGGCCAAAGATATGTGGTCCTTAGCCTCAAGAAGTTCACAGTCACAGAAAAGTGGCCTCACTTTTTTTTTTTTTTTAATGATAGTCACACACAGAGAGAGAGGCAGAGACACAGGCAGAAGGAGAAGCAGGCTCCATGCACCGGGAGCCCTACGTGGGATTCGATCCCGGGTCTCCAGGATCGCGCCCTGGGCCAAAGGCAGGCGCTAAACCACTGCGTCACCCGGGGACCCCCTAGCCTCACATTTTCAAGCACAATGAGAGTGCAGCAGGGCCACTTCCCTGTATGGTGCTCTATCCCCTATGCCCACAAGGTCTAGGTCACACATCACCTTCCTGAGAAAGAAACAGGCCAAAGGGCTTCAGCATCCAGGACTCCACAACCCAGAGCCACCAAAGTGGTACATTTGGGTGAACGGAGGACCTGGGGCTGGTCAATGCCCCTAGTGCCCCCCCATCCACCTAGCTGGCAAAAAGCCTTAGGACATTACCCTGAAATTTTTAGCCAGAGGTGGCCAGCTCAGGGCTGGGGAGCAGACGGTGCCAGGCTCACCCGGCTTTTTGGAAAAGCCAACCAGAAGACAGTTATCAAAGGACCCATGTTGGGGTGCAGGGAACTGATGCTCGCGTTCCAGAAGGGGAGTCCCTTCGTCGAACAGGCTGGGCTGCGCCCCCCCGTCAAGCGCAAGGGGGTGTGGAGGTTCTTCTGCCTTGACACCTCCCCACGTGGGCGCCCTCTGGCTCCTGTGGGTGCCCAAGCGCCATAGAGTCACTCGACCTCAACCCCGCACCACCCTTCCGAGGGCGGATCCCTTCCAGCCTGAACCTCCAGGCGCTAAGCGCGCCGCGCACGCGCACGGAGCTCAGAGACAGCCCCGCCTCTTGCTTTGCCTCGGCCCGCCCCTTCCGCCCTCCGGGGCGGGGCTAAGCTCGGCTTCCGCCGGAACCCTGGAAAAGTCAAGCTTTGAAGTTTTGCGGTGGGCTGTGCCGCGCGCTCCTTCTCGTCTCCGGGGCCCAAGTTTAGGTTTTCACGCGCAACTCTCGCGAGGCCCTGAGAGCCCCACGCCGACTCTCCGCATTCCAATTCCGGCAGCGAATTACTGCAGAACCTGTTTCCTCCCCCCCTTCCCCGGGCCCCCTCCACCGCCCTGACCATGGCCCAGAAGCCGAAGGTGGACCCCCACGTCGGTCGCCTGGGTTACCTGCAGGCGCTGGTCACGGAATTCCAGGAGACGGAGAGCCAAGGTGAGAGTGGCAGGGTGGGGGCCGGGCGGGGCGGGGGGGGGGCCGTCACGGCCGCCGCGGACCTGGGCCCAGCGCCAACTCTTCCGCCGCAGACGCCAAGGAGCAAGTGCTGGCCAACCTCGCCAACTTCGCCTACGATCCCGGTAACTACGAGTATCTGCGGCAGCTGCAGGTCCTCGATTTATTCCTCGATTCGCTGTCGGAGGAGAATGAAACCCTGGTGGAGTTTGCTATTGGTAAGGATGGGGCGGGTCTCCCAGATGCCTGACTTGACTTGGTGAGGTAAGCGAGTTAAAAGTCAGTCCCTGGGGAAGGACTCTTTTAGGTGATACCTCTGCTGAGAAGGCACATCTTCTCGATGTCTGTTCACACATTGTTCCAGGTCGCAGCTATCTTGAGTCAGGTCCGGAACTAATGCCTGGAGTCCCTCTGCATGTCTGCCTTCCCTCCCCTCCTACTTAGAGATGAGATCGTAAATGAGGGAATGGATCGAAACCACTTGGAAAAAGTTTTAAAAATGCTGTTGTTATTTTATCTTTTTTTTTTTTTAATTTTCAGAAAAAGATTTTATTTGAGGAAGCGTGCGTGCACGAGCAGGGGGGAGTACCAGAGGGAAAGGGAGAAACACACTCCCTGCTGAGTGCAGAGCCCATCTCAGGGCTGGATCCCAGGACCCTGAGATCATGGCCTGAGCCCAAGTCAGACGAGGAACCAACTGAGCCACCCAGGCACCCGCAGAATGCTGTTTTTAAACATCTTTATTTTATTTTATTATTTTATTTTTTTTTAAATTTTTATTTATTTATTTATGATAGTCACAGAGAGAGAGAGGCAGAGAGGCAGAGACACAGGCAGAGGGAGAAGCAGGCTCCATGCACCGGGAGCCCGACGCGGGACTCGATCCCGGGTCCCCAGGATCTCGCCCTGGACCAAAGGCAGGCGCCAAACCGCTGCGCCACCCAGGGATCCCTAAACATCTTTATTTTAATGTGTTAATATCAAGAGAAATAGGGGTGGCTTATAGCTCCTATAGCTGTTATGGTTTAAGATCTGTTGAATTATTCAGTGGACAGATACTTACTGGGATGTACTGTGACTAAGGTACTGTTCTGAATGCTGGAGAGATGGTGAACAAGTGGAGGAGAGGGAGAGACACATAACGAGCAAACAAAAAAGCTGAGGCTCTCAAGGAAGTAAACAGGGTGATGAGATAGAGCAGAGTGTAGAGGTGGGGGCTACTTCATTTCTGCCATCATGGGAAGGCATTCTAGGAAGAGGCACAGCATGGCCAAAGACCCTAAAGCAGGAGGAGCCAGAAGGAAGGCTGATGTGGCAGGCTATGAGGAGTGGAACAGAGTGCTGCAAAATGAGGTTAGAGAGGTGGACAGCACCAGAGTTCACATGACCTTAGCTCTAGACTATGGGAAAGAGTTTGGAATTTATTCTGAGGACAAACAATTTTTTTTTTTTTAAGATTTTATTTATTTATTTGAGAGAGAGACAGATAGCACGAGCGGGGAGGAGAGGGTGAAGCAGGCTCACCACTGAGCAAGAAGCCTGATGCGGGACTCGATCGCAGGACCCCGGGATCACAACCTGAGCCAAAGGCAGATGCTCAACCATGGAGCCACCCAGTCATTCCTCTTTCTCTCTCTCTCTTTTTTTTTTTTTTTTAAGATTTTATTTATTTATTCATGAGAGATACACAGAGAGAGAGAGGCAGAGACACACACAGGCAGAGGGAGAAGCAGGCTCCATGCAAGGAGCCCAATGTGGGACTCGATCCCAGGTCTCCAGGATCACACCCTGGGCTGCAGGCGGCGCTAAACCGCTGAGCCACCCGGGCTGCCCCCTCTTTCTCTCTTTAAGTGAACTTTGTATTCCTTTCCTTTTCCTTTTCCTTTCCCTTTTCTTTCCTTCCTTCCTTCCTTCCTTCCTTCCTTCCTTCCTTCCTTCCTTCCTCTTTCTTTCTTTCTTTCTTTTTTAAAGTAAGCTCTATGCTCAATGTGGGGCTGGAACTCACAACCATGAGATCAAGAGTTGTATGCTCTGGGCGCCTGCATGACTCAGTCATTCAAGTGTCCGACTCTTGATTTCGTCTTAGGTTATAATCTCAGGGTTGTAAGATGGAGGCCCATTTCAGGCTCTGTGTGTCAGGCTCTGCATGTCAGGCTCTGCACTGAGCGTGGAGCCTGCTTGAGATTCTTGACACCCCTTTCACGCTTGCTTGCATGTGCACACATGCTCTCTCTTAAAAAAAAGTTGCATGCTCTACCAACTGAGCCAGCCAGGCACCCCGTGAACTTTGTATTTTATACAAAGTTTATATAAAATATTTTCTGTATTTTAGAACAGTTTTAGAAAAATTGTAAAGATAATACAGAGGTTCCTACATATGTCACACCCAGTCTCTCTATTGTTTTTTTTTTTTTTTTTTTTTTTTTTAAGATTTTATTTATTGGGCAGCCCGGGTGGCTCAGTGGTTTAACTCTGCCTTCACGCTCTGGAGCATGGTCCTGGAGATCCGGGATTGAGTCCCATGTCGGACTCACTGCATGGAGACTGCTTCTCCTTCTGCCTATGTCTCTGCCTCTCTCTCTGTCTCTCATAAATAAATAAATATAAAAAAATGAAATCTAAAAAAAAAAAAAGATTTTATTTATTTATGAGAGACACAGAGAGAGACAGACACACAGGCAGAGGGAGCAGCTCTCCCATGCAGGGAGCCCAACGTGGGATTCGATCCCGAAACCCCCCCAGGATCACACCCTGAGCCAAAGGCAGACTTTTAATGGCTGAGCCACCCAGGTGTCCCCAGTTTCTCTGTTATTAACCACTTACATTAATGTGGTAATATGGTACATTTGCTACACTTAATAAGCCCTATATTGATTACATTATTATTAACTACTGTCCATACTTGATTCATTTCTTTAGTTTTTCTTTTTTTAAAAAAGATTTTATTTATTTATTCATTCATTCATGATAGACATAGAGAGAGAGGCAGAGACACAGGCAGAGGGAGAAGCAGGCTCCACACAGGGAGCCCGACGTGGGACTCGATCCCGGGACTCCAGGATCGTGCCCTGGGCCAAAGGCAGGCGCTAAACCGCTGAGCCACCCAGGGATCCCTATTTCCTTAGTTTTTCTTAGTATTCTCTTACTGTTCCAGGATTTCATACAGGATACTGTGTTACTTTTAGTTATCATATCTTAGGCTCCTCTGGTCTGTGCCAGTTTCTTGGACTTTTTTTTTTTTTTTTTAGACTTACTTTTTTTTTTTTGGATGACAGTGATGGATTCAAGTAACGCTGGTCAGGTATTTTGTAGTCAGTCTCTCTCTCTCTCTCTCTCTCTCTCTCTTGAGATTTTATTTATTTATTTGAAAGAGCATGAGTAGCCGGGAGACTCAGAGGGAGAGGGAGAAGCAGGCTCCCTGCTGAGCAAGGAGCCCAATGCGGAGCTCGATCCCAGGACCTCAAGATCATGATCTGAGCCGAAGGCAGATGCTTAACCAACTGAGTCACCCAGGCACCCCTGTAGACAGTCTCTTAACTGGGATTTGTTTGATGTTTTTCTCTTGATTAGACGGGATTGTGGGTTTTAGGGGGAGGACAGCCACAGAAGTTAAGTTTTCATCACAACATGTCATGGAGCCATGCTGTCAGCATGGCTGATGATGGCCTTGATTAGCCAGCTGAGGTGGTACTGGTCTGGTTTCTCCACTGTACAGTTATTCTTTCATCCTCCCCTTTCCATATTGTGTTCTTTGGAAGGAAGGTGCTCCATAAATGATCTCTTTTAATCACCAGTAGGATTATTGAAGGACCCAGGCCAGTTCCACAGAATTTTGCACCTTCCTAACTGTCTAGTTGCCTCTTTCTGGTGTCATTTAGTTTTTCCTCTTTCCCCTTTATTTCCTGGAACCCAGAAGTTAGATTGAAGGCCTTGATAGAATCAACTAACACTCCCCCACACACACTGAATACAGATGGGTGTGATATAAAAATTTGAAAGACCATCCAGGCCGGCCCCTACTGTTTGGGGTACCTGGAACTGGAGTACAAATGGGGGTGATCCCTTGTCTTCTCACCACAATAGGTCTCATACCCATGTGTGTGGATATCCTGGCTGTGTTTGTTCCTGTCCTGTGGCCCCTCCTTGAACTTAGGAGTGTACACACAGCAGTGGGGTTGCACACACCAACAGCAGAGTCCACCCCTGGGAGTCAGGATCCAGGAAAGAGGCCCATGCAGCTGTGGGAGTAGGTTTAGGTCCTGGAGCTCCAGGTATAGGAGAAAGGAGGATGGGCTCTGTGTGGGCTCCCCGGAATTTTGGGAGGGGGCCATAGTGAGGCCCTCTGGAAGATTATTATGCTAAATAAATACTCTAAACAAATCAGTGGCTTTGAGATTTTCTTCTGTATAAGTCCTCCATCCCCTCCCTCTGCCCCACAGCTTCTGCCATCTGAATGGTGACAGTGGCGTCTGTGAAGCATAGCTTCCACCCAGGAGTGACAGGGCTCCTCCAACTCAAGCTTCTGACTGGAGAAAACTTGTATAAAAGGACTAGTCCACCACAGAAAGTTTTTGTGGGTTCAGGAAGTAACTTGTCCAGGGCAGGAGTGCTTTTTTTTTTTTTTTTGGAGTGCTCTTAAGACCCTGGTCTGCCGAGCTGGGAGACTTGGGCCTGGCCTGGGTTCTTGTTTTCCTGGGCAGCTTCCAGGGCAGGTGACCAGCCCAGGACCTGGAGTCCACGGTCCAGCTTCTCTACTTCCTAGCTGATTCTTGTGGATGAGATCCATCTGTCCCTTCTCAGACTCATTTCTCACCTGCACTGGCCTGGCCCTATGTCGCAGGACTGTTGTGGGAAACAGAAGTGGGTGGGTGTGTCTCCATGAAGGTACTTCTTCTGGCTGGTTATTTTCTTAGTATCCTTACACCAGTTTTCCTTTCCCTGCCACTTTTCCTTATGTTCTCTTCCTCTCCTTCCACCAGCACAGGGTCCCTAGTCCCCAGAGTACTAGCTTTCTCAGCATCGAATCCCTCCATGGCATTGTTTGCAGAGTAGATTTCTCTCGTATTTGTTGTGTATGACTTACCAGGAGAGTCCCCTCATACTTAGGTGCATATTTTGTTACTGCTGTTATTTCTTTTCACATCGCCGGCCCTGAATGAGAAGCACTGCCAGGTGCTTACTCTGCTAACAGACTCTGTGCTGTGCTTTGTAGTTTTGA